ATAACCCAACAGGACAGAACTGATTTAAACGGCAGATGGACAGATGGGTGCAATGCAGATCCTTGAAACAGCTATGTAAACATTATTACCTGGAAGTGACATATTGCTGTTAATAACTAAATGGGCTATACAAATGCATTAAAGGGGCATTTTGCATAACAATGCAAATAAACGTGGCTGGTTATGTCTGAAGAGTAATGCATTTCATCCCTGCTCCACCAAAAGAGATACAGGTAAATTATTACGGACTGGCCATCACAGTTGGTATGCTTGTTTTACTCATTCTAGAAGTACAGCTGCTAAGTTCAGTAGTTAAAATATGTCCGATACAAAGGGTACTGCCAGATGAGGCTTTTGTCATGTTGTTGGTTTGCTTTGTTCTTGAAATTTTATGGGAAAGGGTCCAGTCTTGACAATGTTGTCCTTCCGCTGATAGGCTTTCCCTATGTTTTCTCACCGCTTTCCCACTTCTCTGTATTTTGTTACTGCGCACCTCAGTGAAATCACAAGGACTCAGCCCTGTGATGCCATAGGGGCCTGTCTGCTGGTCTCAACCTGTAGCCCTAGCATTTCAGAGAATGAGATGCTAGTCACCTGGCCCATAGAAGAGAAAAAGAAAGCAGGCTGTCTGCAACTACTGATGCTGCCGCAGTGGACAAGACCACTTGAAAGAACGCATTTAAATTAGCTCTTAAATGAAGTGAAAATTGGGGTGGGGAAAGCAGTGTCAGGTGTTGGCTGTGTAAATTGCCAGCTGCATTTTACAGAACAGGGAAAATTACGCTGCAAACACAAGGGTCTCTAACAATTGCTGGAGTAACTTCCCTAAACTAAAAGAACACAGAATCTGCAGCAACCTACACCGTTCTGACAAATATCTAACCCACCTTCATGCACAGAACTTCTGTAACCCAATTATGTAACAACATTTGAAACAACACTTCTGAACGGGTATATCTACACTGACTCCCTCCCCCTCTTGAGGACTGGTCGGTCCTTCCCATTAGCCATAATCCCAAAGTAGATTCTTCACCCACAAGCAGAAAGAATAATGTGGCACCTTTAAGACGAACACATTGATGATAGCCTGAGCTTTCATGGACACCAAGCCTACTCCCTCAGAAGCAGGATTATGTTTTATGCATAAGGGTTAAGGTCTAGAGATGAAATGAAAACTATTCCCTCTGATGTCAGCATTGGAGACATGGAGCTTAGAGAAGGCAGGCAGTTGTATGAGAACAAAAGAGAAGAGAATCAAGAAGGGGGCAAAACAAGAAACACCTAGTCAAATGTATAGAATAGCCCAAAGAAAGTTGATTAAAAACAGATGGTGAGCAGAACAAGCTTCAAACGTCAAAACATGAATGAAATGAAATTAGCAGAACCAAACAATAATACAGCTGCATCTGAATCCAGTCACTTCCCGCTGGAAATTTGAGGCTCTCTATACTGGGCAGGGAACTCCAAGCACAATTCAGAGGAAGTAAAATGTGAACAAAATTTGCAGTTTCAAGGAGGGGGGAGGGATGTCATGTGGGTGGTAGGGTTCTTCCTCTACCACCTTTCTTTCTTCCTCACACCCCTTTTTTCACACAAGGCTTCTAATCTCAATGACTTCAGTCACAAGAGGCAGCCAAAGAAGCGCTGCTAAGATGGTACCAGGCATGTATACTGCACCCCAGTCTTTATTTTGCCAGACAGGTGATAGGACGTGGCCCAGCATGCTAAATATGATCTTCAAGCCATGCTATAAACACCTGCACTCAAGATCTTCCCAAGATCCGTCTCTGTCACAGGCTCGCCTGCTTTGAGAGAGGCCTGGGTGTGATAGCCACTTTGATTGCATTTAAGCAACTTGAAAACACTGTCGGCAGCCAACACCCTGGTGACCTTTCAAGCGCTGAGTGGCAATGCCTGCTGGGTTATTATCAAGATTAAGCTAACCCACTGGGTGTGCATCAGTTCAGCAGTGGCCTAGGCACTCCACTGTGGCTTTGCACCGATAACAGTTTTGATTTTCTTGGTTGCATCTGCAGCCTCAGGAGAGAGATGGCTGCGCATATGTAGGCCTTAAGTCAGCACTGCACAGTTGGGCTTGAAGGAAAGCTGCAGAGTATTGCCTGCACACTTCCTGTAGCACTAAGGAGAAAACTTTCCCACCTCAGACAGAGACCACAGACAGAGATAACACCAGAGTAATTATAGAAGGAACTAAAAACAATACCTCTTGTTTAAAAAAACAAAACGAAAACAAAGCAGGTAGGCACAGGAAATGAGAGGCTATTTATTGAAACAAAGGCAGTTATTTCTGTCAGGCAGCTAGGCCTAGTTTTATGTAACAGCCACATCAAATATTATTTCTCAGCCAGGCTGCTTGGAAGTTGTTACAGGCCAGATACTGAAGTGATGCCAGTAACCATGAAACGTAATAGTTTTAGGTCACCAGCTCCTACTGTTGGGGGGGAGGCAGGGGGCGATACCTACTGACTCCAGTACTACCTTGTTTTACATAATGTGAATATTTGCTTTGTACGTTATAGTACTTTACACTATTTCCTTCCACTGGTTGTTCAGACCTTCACAGCATGACACTTCTGGGTGCTTTATTCAGGAGGCTAGTTATCAGAATATGGTTGAGCAAGAACTGGTCTATGAATGTTGTTGTTGCAGAACAAACACTGTTTGTAACTGATGCTACTAACTCTAAATTACTGATGTCAGCCAACCAGTTAAGTCAACATATGCATGAAACGCATAAATCAGACAACAAATTCTCCAATCCTGCTGTTTTCCAGCTCCTTTATAGCCACACAGATGCAAAATTAAGTTGAAAGTATCCCAGATGTTGTACTCAATTGTAAGTTTTTACTCATGTAACTTGTCCCAAGTTTACACTGTTCACAGTAACCCACCCCTTTGGTAACTTGTCCCTTTACACTGTTCACAGTAACCCACCCCTTTTCCTCCAAAGCAACATCTTCTTACCTTCTTTCATAAGGGTTGTCTAGGTTTCAGACTTCTTTTCCCCAGCAAACAGATTTTCTGTTCTATTCAGATATTGTACGGTATGAATGTCTGAATGGAGATGGAGACAGCGGGACTATTCAGCCATATATTTACTCTGTGTGTGCTCCACTACTGTTTAAGAGTGCAGGGTCTGATTATTCAGGGTTATTATGCTGAATAATCTGACTACTTGTCCATCTACTCCAGAATTATCCATTCTAAGTGGCGAGATCTCAGATAGAAAGATGTCTAAGATCTCAAGCAGAAAGAATTTTCACATCACCTTTTAGTCCCTAATTGTTCTCGCTGAAGATGACAAGGACTGATTCTTTAGAATTCTGGCTTGTTGCAAAGTCTAGCTACATCTGATGTTTGTGTTTCTAAAAAGGGGAATGCTTTCTGCAATGTTTCATTCACACTTAATTTTCCCATACTGTATATGCAACTTGTGACTTGCATTATTTCTGAAAGTTTTCTTTTCGATGCACTACCTGTTCCATATGTGTTCTGAATTATTTGCCATGCATTTACTCATTCCCCTTAGCTGGGACTAGTCTCAGCCTCACTGTTTCTCTTCTGAAAAATGTGCACATTCTTTCTAAAATGGTATTTACATGTTTCATTCCTTAATCATATACAGTACTATATATATGGACTTGACCTGAATATGTGATGTACGACTCAATCAGATAGGCATGTATCCTGCTGTTTGGTGCACTGCGGGGGCAGATTAGTTTGCTCCTTTTTCCGGCAGTCAAGCAACCTGATTGCTAGAGTGGATCAATTTCTCCCTAGAGTGTCCATTTCTCCATCTTCTACTGGGGAAGTCTAATTTTTTGATGTGGATAGGTCTGCTCTAGTTTAGTCCATTCCCAATGTGTGCAATCACTGGGAAAGGCCCAAAGTTGAGCCTTGCAGCTATCAAAGCTGCCAAGACTCCTCCCTCTGTCAATTTCCAGTGTTGTGAAGTAGCTTATAAGAGAGCCACTTCAGGATATCTGCAAATTGAACAATTCCCTTGCTCCTCTGCAGAGGGGCAGGGGAAGTGAAATTACTTCTTTTGCCTATTGTAGACCATCACTAATGTGCTGAATCACTCAGATTTAATTTTTAAAAGTACTCTTAGCCTTTGTCTGAAATGCCAGTCAAAACGGTGGTTGCAGCAGCTTCTTGATCAGCATTGCACACAAGGAACTGAAAATATTTTTCAAAATCTAATCTAAATTTAATCTAAATCTAAATTTAAGCTACTTCACAATACTAGAAGTCACACGGTATTCCCTATATGCTAGGCTTTGAATGTGTGGACAGTTTTCATACCGCCCTTTGCTCCTAGAGCCAGAAGAAACTCCTCATCTCAACAGCCTTGTTCAGGCAGTGGAATATTTTATTATGTGAGCTAAGAACCCTAAGTATGACTTACCATGACAGCCAAAATTAACGAGACACCTTCCTTTTTCATTGGGGTAATTTAACTGGTCATTGTAGATGAGGCATCCCTGATATCACTGCATTGCTACATCTGTTGAATGTTTTCTTAGAAAAAAATTGTTGCAGAAAGCCTGGAACAATTTTTCCACAGGGAGAAAAGCTCCACAGTGGTCTGTTAGCACGGCTCACATACACATTTAGTTACTTGTAACTAGCTGTTGGTTGCAGGCTGTGCTCTGAAGAAGCCCTTGACTCTTGAACTTTCCTAGTGAGAAGAGCAGCTCTGTATTTGAGGAAAAACTGTACATTTTGTAGCAAAAAATTCACCTCCCTCTAAAGGAGAAATTCAACTTAACTTAATGCTAACAATAGTTTATTCCCTGTCTTTTTCAAAAGCCAAATTCTACCTCTGTTTTGAAAGAGACACCCCATGGTTTGGCCTGGATCTGTGCTTTTCTCTCTCTCTGTGAGAGGATAGTGAGCAAGACTTTGAAGATTAGAGGACACAGGTTCATAGAGCACTCTCCACGTGACACAAAAGAAAGAAACCCACATCAGGAGACACATGAACAGCCTGGCTTCCTCCCCATCCCCTCCCTTTGCCCACAGCAGGTACCGTGAAGTCTCAGGGCAGGGACACAAAAGAACTGCCTGTATATGGTCGGATGAGGAGGAACATACCGATGGGGATCGACCATCATCTAGCCTTTATCCCTCTGGCGTTAGTGGTGATGTTGGGTGAGTACTCTTAGTAGGCCCTTCTGTCCATGCAAGGCGTCGATCAGATCTCAGCAGAGTGCAAACTCAGTGAGATGCCGTCCAGAAGCCGTTTCTTCTCAGCTTCAGTCCATGCCTCCCATCGCTCCTCAGTCCTAGAATATGTAGATTACACCCTGTTGTTGTCAGGATGGTTGAGCTGACTGAGGTGAGCAGCACTTTGAGAACTTAAGGAAAGCCCAATAAGAATACTGAGTGTTATTATGCAGCTCCCATGTTTCTGGAGTGTGCTCAGACATGGTAGTCGTCCAAGGGGCATTTGGTACGGTAGTCCCCACAGGAACAGAGCTTCATCTGGCAAGAAGCCTTGGTGGGTTGGGCGAAGTCTTATCTAAGGGACCATGCTCCCACAGGCCTTCCCTCATGGACTGATGTCTTCAGAGCAGGTTTTGTTACCTGATCATTTGTTAATGGGACTATGGCTGAGGGCAGCTAACTCTTGGGTTTTTGCAAGGGGTGGGGTGTCCTTCTCTAAGACACACCCTCCCTGGAAAAATGCTGTTGGGAAATTCCCTTGTACATTTCTGAAGAAGACAAGCTGTTTGTCTTTTAGGAAGGTTTCTGGGTAAGCTAGAAAACAAAACAAACTGGCTCGGCGAACAAACCCCCTAGTGCTACTTTTTCTTTATTTTTGCTGACATCAGTTTTAAACTTTCTTTTTTGTTGCCAATACTCTATAAGCTGCTTGTTATTTTATGTAATATGTCACTGCAATAACCTCCTTGGTTAACTTTCTTGTGGGGGAGGAATGTAAGAGATAACATTTTTCAGGGTACTACAAACCAACATAATTCCCTTCTGATCTTGCTTGCTTTTCTGGCACTAGCCAGTGTCGTCAGCAATTAGTCAAATTCCCAGCATGAATGTGTAGCATCTTTCTAGGCCAGTAAAAAAATGTGCCCCCTATGTATAACTCAGGATTTCTTTATTTCATAACACTGCCTATTTCACTGTTTGGACTTGGCAAAAACAAGTTCATGACTTAAAATAGTATCAAAGAGTCATTCTAGTCCAGTAAGAGAAAGCCGCATGTGAGAGCAGTGTCGGCAAGTCAGGAGAATGCTAAAGATGTAGCCGCATTGGGACCAAGAACTATCATGATACCTGAATTACCAGCTGGAGCAGAGAGTTGAGGATGAACACTTCCCCGTTGTTTGGACCAAGAAAGAGCTTGTTCTGCACGGCAGCCGTATCTAATATTCCCCTGTTATCTGGCTAATCTACTGTGCTTGGCCACTGTCCTATGTGTTCACCTTCCAGTTTTTATTTTAATTTAAACCAGGAGGCTGTGAATTTTTGTGTGTAAGATGCTGGCAGTGCTCGCTGAACCTCTACGTTATTTCAGTGCAGAACAGTGGCACTAACAGGGTATAGTAATTATAGGAGGAGTGTTACCTGAATGTTGAAGAGGGAGGCTGCATCTGGCAAACCAAGATAAGGAAATGAAAAGTTAGTTCACCTTGACATGTTCAGAGTGGGTGGGAACAGAGTATTCAGAGCATGTCAGTTTTGGGGGCAGGCGGGTGGAAGGATTTAAAATGTGTTCAGCATACTAATACCACTGAACTCTAAATTACTGTGTATTTATTAATTTACAAGAATTTTACCCCACCATTCCCTGCCAACATGGGGCTCAAGATAGTTTACATCATGTGATAAAGACCCTAAATAAGGCTTTCAAGTCAAGTGAGATATTTGAGGAGTGGGTTTACCATTTCTACACCCCAGTGAGCTTGGATGACTGGGCAGGGATTTGAACCCTGGTCTCCAGGGCCCTAATCCCTCACTCCATCCACTACACCACAATAGATAACTTACAACATTTACATTACTACCTGTTTGTTTATTTATATAATTCTACCATAGCTTACAACTGGCAAAATGGGTTTCCTACGTTTATTTGGCTTTTAGCAATATTAGCCCCTTACTGTAAGAGGGAGTGTTGAAACCCTTCTCCCAATTCAAATGCTGCTCTTACATAGATACCTGTAATCCAGAATTCATGTACCAGCTTAAAAAATGAGCAAAATAATAATAATGAAAACATCAAAACCGGGCGCTGCTGAAAGTCCATTTCCTGTTTCATTTGTGTGGATAGCTGTGGGGCAACATCTCATTTTATGACAAAAACACTGCTCCTGGAGGCTTCCAGTTGTGAAAAATGACTTTTTTTTTCCATATGGGGTAGGGAGCCCTCAAGGACCACAAAAATTGCCTTAAAGGGCTACATCCAGCCCCAGGCTGAGCTTTGACGACTGCTGCTGTAATCTGACCACTTGTAGCTATTAAGGGCAGCTTTCAGGGAAGGTAAAATTTGTTTGGGAAGAATGTGGCAAGGGGAAAGATTCAGATGCCAATGGGAGTTTTTCTTCCATAGCAAATACCAAATACAGTATACTACTGGTCTGATTAAACACTGACCCCTCTGTGGCTAATTTAAAGCTAACAGACAAACAGAACCCCAAAGAAGTCAACAGGGGATCCAGTCATGCCTGTTTTGGCTCTCAGCTAGGAAACCTTGCTTTTCCAGGGAAGTCATTGGATATGGCCATGGGTACGATCAGATGTCACAATATACTGTACTTAGATTCTTGAGGCCTGATAAAATGAATCTTAGGACTGGTTTAATCTTGCATGAGTAGAATCTTGAATGGTGCAGATTGTCCTCCCTTCCAAACATGGTTGGACACCTTTTGGGTGTCTAGATTTGGGTAAGGCTGCAGACCTATACGGGGCCCATGAGCTTCATTCATGAAGCAATTTACCAGAGACATATGTACATGTTCCTATGTTTACACCTGTATGAAAGGGGTACCTGTAGAATATATGGGCTTCCACATCTGTTTATTGCTTGCATAAAATATTGTTAGCAGGTAAAGTCCTCGTTTTTTCTTCACACAGTGAAATGGTTACTTGGATAGCTGTGTGTCCTTTTTATTGTATAAGATGATCAAAAAGGAAGTCAGCTAAAAGAGGTAGAGGTGTACAGTAATTGTTTTGCATGCTTAATTGTCATGTCTGACAGGGAAAGAAAATTCCCTAGGTACAAATCAGGACAGCTTCACTGAAGTGAGCAGGAATCTAACTTGAGCCTTTGACTTATACCGTTAATTATTCTTCCCCCTCTTCTCCGTCTGAATGCACATCTGATTTCCTCTTAGGCAAATGACTTTTCAGAGAGTAGCGGCAAGAAAGAATAGCAGTTGATGAGGTAGTCATAAAAAGTAATCAAAAGTAAAGACTATTAGTTTCATTCATTAATGTTGTATCCTTTATTTGAATTATAGAGCAGGAAAGATAAAGCACAATTTTCATCTGCAAGAAATGTTTCCTGTATGCTTTCCATTGGAATGAATGGACATTCCTTCCTTTTGCACTTTTCTTATTAATTTCAGCAGAGCCTTCCCAGTGAATAATGTGTCTAATAATATGGATGTAAAATAGGGCACTTTTCTAAGTGATGGATAAAATGGCTCTGGATTAAATCAAATTTGCAGTGCCTATTACTTACACCAGCCAGAATTCCTTTTTTGTTTTTGCTCTAAAAAGATGTCTCTTCCACATTTACAATAATCAGACATTCATACTGCCTTCTCAGCCACACAAGACACTGTTCCAAGACCTTAATACAGAACACGTTACCATAGTCTCTCGAGACTGAAGGATACCTACAACTGCACTCAAGACAGTTATATTCGGAAATAATCATACAATGGCTGGAATACATCAATTGTATGACAAATACTTCTTCTCTACATTCTGATATAGGGCCAAACATTGTTCATGTGTCACAGGTAAGAGAAGCGAGAGAGGGATTTTTAATGTAAATTCTCATTTTGGCCTCTCTGAGTTTTATCTTTGCATCCATTGTGATCTTCATGAAAGCAAAATCTCCTGTGTTTTGTAATTAACAATAGTGTGTTGTGGAGATAATGGTTTTCAATTTCAATTAAAGTGCAGTCCAGTGGAGTAGGGGATGATTAGATATGGGAGATGTGTGATTCCACTACTTGTTTCCTTAGCTAATATATTGTGGTCATTTTATTGTTTGTCTATTTAAAATATTTTACCCCACCTTTCTCCTTAAAAAGGACCCAAGGAAGATTAAAACGATAAAAGATGATATTTAAAAGCTAAAAAAAGTTAGTTATAAAAATATGGGAAAAAACAGAATTAAATCAAATTATATTTTAAATGTCAGAATAAAAATAGCATTAGAACAGATTTTAAAAACAACATAAATACAAACCATTCCATTTTAAACCCCCTCTTAGACAGCCAGTCATTAATACCAGCCTGAACAGAAAGGTCTTCATCTCCTTCCAGAAGGACAGTGAAGATAAGATCAGCCTGACTTCCTGTGGGAGGGAGTTCCTAAGTCTGGGATCATCAACAGAGAAGTCCCGCGTCCCCCCCAAATGGTGGGACCAAGAGAAAGCCTTCTCCTGATCCTGTGTCCCCCCCCACAAATGCACCTATGAGAGTGGTGGGACCAAGAGAAAGCCTTCTCCTGATGATCTTAATATCCAAGCAGGCTCATAAAGGGAGAAGTGGTCCTCAAGATAGCTTGGATCGAAGCCGCTTAGGGATTTATAGGTTAAAACCAACACTTTGAATTGTGTTTGGAAATGGATCAGCAGCCAGTGGGGTTGCTGTAACAGAGGGGGGTTATGTGATTCCTGTAACCAGCCCCAGTTAGCAATTTGGTTGCAGCGTTTTCAACCCGTTGAGGTTTCCGAACGCTTTCCAAAAGCAAGCCCACATAAAATGGTGCTTCCAAATCCTGTCTCACAGAGACAGTCCAGAAGGATATCATGGCTGATGGTATCGAAAGCTGCTGAGAGGTCCAAGAGGACCAACAAGTACACACTCCCAGTGTCCAATTTCTGGTGTAGGTCATCCACCAAGGTGACGAAACCAGTCCCCACCCCACAACCAGGTCCGAAACCAGAGAGAAATGGATCTAGATAATCTGTCTCATCCAGAAACCCCCAGAGCTGAGAAGCCATGACCTCCTCCAGCACTTTGCTCAAAGAAGGAATATTAACGACTGGCCAGTAATGATCCAGTACTGCAGGATCCAAGGAGGGCTTTTTCAACAATAGTCTTTCTACTGCCTCCTTTATGCATGCTGGGAGGCATTCACCACCCCATCTATCCACTTGACCAGTCCCTCTCTGGCAGCTTTTATATGCCAGGAAGGCAGAGGTCCAGCAGATATGTGGTAGCCTTTACTTCTCTAAGGGTCCAGTCCATATCATCAGGCTTCAAAAACTGAAACTTCTCTATCTACACAAGAAAAGTAGGGGTCATTGTTACATTCACAGGATGTGTATCAACTGCAGCATCCAGGTCAGAATGGATTCAAGTGATTTTGCCCGCAAAGTGCCATACAAATACTTCCCAGCAAACTCCAGTGTGGTCTGAATTCTCTTCCTGCCAGCCATGATGTAAGAGACCCTTGACCACTCAAAAGATCTCTGTCGGCCAACTCTGTGCAGACGCAATGGTAGCAGAGAAGAATGACTTCTTCGCTGGTACCACTGGCATGGAAATCCATCTGGTGTCTAATATTGACCTTAATTACTGCTTGAAAAGTCTTTGCATGGTCTTTGGGCCAAAGCAGCAAATTGCTTGATATTCTAGGCTATTCCTATTCCCAGTTAATCACAGCTATGTTTTGCCTAACTAGAAAAAGTGACCAAAAAACTTCTTTTTTTTCTCCCTAGAGGAAGTGGCACTGAGAAAACTAATTTTCCCTTTCATTATTCTCTTTGTGCCCTGGCTGGAATGCCATGTTACAACCAGACAATATTTTCAGGATACATTTATAAATCTGCACCTCACAGGGACAGTTGTGAAACAGTGCCTCCTACTTAAAAGCTAAATACATGTATAGAAATATTTAAAAATTAAACAAAGGCTCTATTTAAAATGATAAATAAAATGAAACACATTTGATGTTAAAACACTAAAAACACATTTGAAAGTGACAAGGCACCACAATCTATTTTTAAAAAATCTTTTCAGAGAAGGCCTTCTTCTCTGTCCCCATCAAACGCACCTGTGAGGGTGGTGAGACCTCTCCTGATGATCTTATCTCCCAGGCAGGCTCATAACGTTTTATTTACAGGTGGGTCATGGTTTGCATAAGAGGTTACCATGACCTGTTGGGAATATAATACTATTGATCAGCATCTATCTGTAAAAGTCACCGGGACCAAAAGCTTCATCTGAGATTCGATTGATTTGTATGTTGTTGTGTAGGGACAGAATCCAAAACACTTTGCAGAGGGTCCTCTCCTCTGCAGTCTCTCATTTTCCTTGAAAATTTGTGATGAAAATGGGGAGATCCTCCTGAGCGCTGTATAATGTGGTGTAAGGAGTGGAATACAGCTATATGTATGAAAGTAGAACCGAGACCCTCTTCCATGTGTGCAAATTGCTTTTTGCTTTTGACCAAGGCTCTTTCAGATCCTAGCTTGCCTGAACAAAGGCGTGAGTAGCCTTTTGCTGAGAACTTTGAACATGTTTTTTTCTTGGCTTGTGGGTTATGAAAGACACCACCACTACCCCACAGGACGTCATAACCTTCGAATGGACATGCATCCTGGCTGGATTAAACAGAACAAATAGGTGTTTTTAAAAAATTATCTTGGATGGAATTGTTTCAATGTGGTTTAACTTGTGATGCACAGTTATTTGAAAAATGTCAAGCACAGTTTTAGTTATGAAGGCAAAGCCTGCTTCTCTCTCTCTCTCTGTCTTTTACAACAAAGAGTAAAAACCAGGATGCCTCCAGATGACACTCAAATCGTTCAATAACTATGCTGTGTTCATGGAATATTATAGGGAGTCCATAAAATAGCTATGTCCATTTCTGGTTTTCCCCCAGTAGTCTTTTTCTTTACACACACACACACACACACACACACACACACAGAGAGAGAGAGAGAGAGAGAGAGAGAGAGAAGCTGTCCATTCAGAAGCGTTCTTGAACACATTAAGAGTCGAATAGGCTGCTTTGCTTGACTATTAGTGTTAATCACAAATGGAAAATTTTATTTCAGTATTTATTTATCTGAAACAATAACGCAGTGCTGCTAGTGAGCAGGTCTTGGTGTGAAGTAAAATTGTCTTCAGGTCATGGATATTTTATCTGATTTATTTTACTCTATTACTTTCTTTACAGTGGTTATTTGTGGCAGTAGCCAAACAGAGAGCCCTGAAGGTCAGTATTTGCTCAGTCGTCAAATTCCTTTAAATGTTAGAAGGCAGGGCTAGCTCGACCCCTATGTAAGAAAATCTACTATCTTGGGGTGGGGTGGGGTGGGGAGGCAGCAGTTCTGGTTCTCTGGAGCCATTCAATCTCATTTTGGCCATTCCCTTCTATAGGAGTACAGAGCTGTGTGTGTTCACCTGGTGCCTCAGGTGCAGTAGAGGATGTAATCCCTGCCAGTTCAATTTGCTTCTGCATGTGGAATGAGGAGAGGACACCATTTTGTCCTTTGCTTCAAGCAATAACATGTCTCGGCAAAGCCATCAAGTCTTCAATAATGAACATACATTTGATGGCCTACTGCTAAGCTGGCTGGTCCTTAAATAACTGAATTAACGGACACACACAACATAAGTGGAGAAAAGAGGCCACAACTTTATTGATCACAGCAACAGTCATCCTGGCCAAGCATTGGGTTGGATCTACCTCATCAGGGGATCCGAATGGCCCCCCCAATGCCATCTGCTGTCTCCTTGAGAGATATCTGGGGTGGCAGTTCCCTTGGGAGGCCATGCAGATGTAAGCCACTCCGTGTCTCCCCTGTGTCCTAGGGCAGGGGCAAATCTCACCTTTTCCTCCCCCCTCCGAGCTGGGGCAGTTCCAGGTCCCCCGTGCAGGTTCCCTACCTGGGGATTTCTCACCCAAGCAGACATGCAGGTTGCCGCCTGCTGTCCAGGACTGGGTAAGTCTGTGTCCTGATCTTCTCGGAATGATGCAGTGAGAGTTTTTGCTGTGTAAACATTGTGTTTCACATTGACTGAATATTAATTATTCATACATAAACGCTATCATTGGTGGCTTAATCACCTTATGTCTTATCCTTTCACACATCTGAATTAGCATTTCATCATGCCATGGGTTGTGGAAAAAGAAGCAGATACAGTATCCTTTGCAAACAAATTGGGCTTTTTTGTTATTTTCATTATTTTTTAATGTAGCAGTAGCCCACATGAAAAAGGGTAGATAAGTCCCTTAAATAAATAAATGGCATTTGTCAGTTCCATGCTTCTTAATAAAAATGGATATGAACCAGCCAAAATCAAGCATCTTTAAATCCCATGAAGTTCACTAAGAGAGAGTTAAGTGACGCTGGGAATGAAAAAAGGGAGCAAACAGTGAATTAAATCCAATTTCAGTCCCGACTAGATTAGATCCCTTGAAATTAGTGTTGACTATCATTCCTTTTATTTCAATGGATATACTCTAACTGGGACTAAGATAACTATGCATGGATGCATGCATGTATGTACATATATATTTACTATGCTTTTCTTCTGTGAGAGGACACCCAGCATGGCTTACAACATGGTTAAAACAGTAAAACACTTTAAAGCATATAGCAACGTAGCAATCTAAAAGGAAAGTACCTTGCCATGAAGTGGTGGAAGCAAAGGTAAAATCAGCTGTGTCCAGCAGGCCACCAAAACAGTTCCTTATTCCATCCTCTCCTGAATCCCTGCAAAGATGTCGTATTTCACAGGGACTCAGAAAGCGGTCTCTAGAGCACAGAAGCAAAATTTAGCTTCACTCTATACAGTTTGATTTGGCAGGTCTTTAATATCTTTCTGTTCCTTAAGCAGGGTGGGATGTGAGGCTTGATGGTACTGGCGCCAGATGTTCTGGGTGGCTGGAGATCCTCCACAGAAGCCGATGGAGAAGGATTTCAGTCAAGATGTGGAAAGAGAAGAGTGCGGAGCTTGCCTGTAAACAACTTGGTTGTGGCTCCCCCTTTGGAAATTTGGATCCGTATGCCAAAGAACCCGAGAAGCAAGAGGTTTGCCTGCTGGAATGTCAGGGGAATGAGACAACACTCAGGGACTGCTTATGGCATGAGTCTAACTGCACACATCATCCAGGTGTGGCTCTGGTTTGCCAAGGTAGATACAGCATCTTCCTATTTTGCATTCTCTCTTTAGGTGAGATAGGTATGATATTTAAGAGGGGTGTGTGTGTGTTTAAGAGTGGTGTGTACATGTTTGTCTGTGTACACATACTTTGGAAGTGCCCTTGCCATGCTTAATACAAACATAACTCCTTTCTCTCCTGGGATGAACTCTGAAAAATAGATTCTGGAAGTTTTCAGTGTGGTTTTCTTTGCATTTGATGGGAAATGCTACTGTAAAATATTGTTCTTGGCTTTTGCCTGTAGCATTATTTGGATACTTCTCCTTTTTGCCCCCTCTTCCTGGAGGAGGGCTGTGGTTCAAGGCAAATGATGGTACAACCTTGCTGAAGCTAAGCAATGCCTAGAAGATTGATCACATGGAAACCCTATGTCTGTGTGCTATTTTGAGTTTGAGCAAAGAGCAGAGTAATAAAAACATAAATATAGGTGTAATAAATATTTTCTAAATACTTATTTTAAAATATACATTGTAATATATTTGTATAAGATGAAGAATAAGTGCAGGTTAATTATATATTTATTTGTTTGTTTGTTTGTTTGTTTGTTTACTTATTTACTTATTTGACTTGTATGCTGCCCATACTCTGCAAGAGTCTCTGGGCAGCTTCCAACTTCAATTAATTCAGATATTTAGATATTTCCTTACATATACAATACCAAATGTGGTGTAATAATGCATAGTATTAGACTACAACTCAGGAAACCAGGATTCAAATATATGTTTGGTTTACTATTGCTATTCCACTCACTGAAAGGTGGCAATGGTAAATCAATTATTTTATTTTATTTTATTTTATTTCCATGCCACTTTTCTCCCAATTATTGGACCCACGTTGGCTCTCAAATTATTAAAAGTCCAAGCCAATGGCTAGGCCCCCAGTTGAAATATTAAACCTGCCTTCTGTCTCTCTCTCTTTCTGGGGTTGAACTAATCTCTTCGAAAATATGTTGGGCCTGTTTGTCCTGTCAGATCCTGTGCAAACATCCACTATATCACAACCAACAACAGCACCATCTGCGACCTCCTCAAAGCCCACTGGTAAGAAAACCAAATCCTCCAAATATTTGCTCCTGCTTCAAGTTTCTGTATTATTAATGACAGAAACTAGAAAATACAATTGTGTTAAAATGTAGACTTTGATTTAAAGTAGCCATTCCACTGGCACAAATCACTTTCCCTAGGCAGAAAGCTTGGCACTATAATGGAAAAAATGGGGGCACCGAGGGGGTGGGTGGGGGAGAGGTGCACTCATTTCCCCTTGGCCTCCTGTGCCTGTTCTGACATTTTAAAGCAGATCTTAAGGGACAAGTAGGAGCTTGAGGTTCAAACTATTCAAGACACCAGCTTTGCAGTTAGATGTTAATAAAAATGTTATCCCTTCAGATATGCATTGGTTCAAAGGTGCTATGAAGCTTAGTGTTTGGTGAAAAATCCGAGAAAAGTATTCGGTGACAAACTAAATTTGCAGCTTGGAGAACTGCAGAAAGCCTTGTGCTGTGATAAATAAGCTTCCTTTACATCTGAAGGAGGTGCTGGTTCTGTGTGTCCCTTGTTTATGGAATGCTTATTTCAGACAAATGAAGCTGCCTTATAACAAACCAGACTATTTGGTTGCCCAGCTGTCAGATTAACTGGGCTTAACAAGTCAACCCCCCTTTTCACAATGCTCTGAATAGACCAGAGGTGGGGGGGGCAGGACTTCGGTGATTTGTTCCACAGCTGCCAATTCCCTTGTCAGGGTTTAAGTAACTGGATGTCTAGACAATTTACTGCACTTTTAACAAAGTTTTCTTTTTCTTTCTTTTCTTTTCTTTCTTTTTTTTTTTTTGAGAAAGTTGAAGTGCCATATTTTTCCATGTATAAAATGACACTTTCCCCCAAAATAATTAGAGGAAAATTTGAGGGTCGTTTTATACACGGGAGGAGGCAGTTATGTGCGTGCTCGGGTGCCTCTGGCTGCTGCCTCCCCCGCCTGCCCGATCACCATCTTCAGTGGGACTCGCAGGCTCAGCTCACGTCCTCACGTTGTCCCCTCCGGTGGTGGAGGCAGCAGGAGGCAGAGGCAATCCGCCCTCCGGTGGTGGAAGCAGCAGGAGGCAGAGGCAAACAAACACTTAGGCGTGCTCGGGCATCTCTTCCTGCGGATCACCTCCTCCATCAAACACTCACGCGCGCTCAGGCATCTCTTCCTGCGGATCACCTCCTCCAGCGATCGTCTCCTTAGGGCAGGGGACAAGGCAGCGACGTGAGCCGGAGGTGAGCCCCAGCCGTTGCACTGGAGAAGGTGATTTGGCGGGCAGCGGAGACAGAAGCAGGAGGAGGAGATGGAAGTGAAGCAGCAGTTGCCCATTAGCTGCTCCTCTGCCTCCACCAAGGCTCAAAATTAGGGGGTCATTTTATACATTGGGGGGTCATGTACACGGAAAAATACGCTATCTAAAACTGAAGAAAAATAATTTTCTAGGAGTATAAAATTCTCGTTGTTGCTGTTATGTGCCATCAAGTTGCTTCTGTCTTATGTATGTCCTATCAATGAGCAATCTCCAGAATGCCCCGTCCTCAACGGCCCTGCTCAGCTCTTGTAGATTCAAAGCTGTGGTTCCCTTTAGGGAGTCAGTCGATCTCATATTTAGTCTTCCTCTTTTCCTGCTGCCTTCCACCTTTCCCAGCATTATTGTCTTTTCCAGACAGTCTTGCCTTCTCATGATGTGCCCAAAGTGGGACAGCCTCAGTTTCAACCTTTTTGCCTCCAGAGAGACTTCAGGCTTGATTTGATCCGCATACAATATAAGAGAAACGCATCTACTTAAGCCTTAAGCATTTATTTTAACACACACACATATGAAAACAATGTTCTCCAACCACGATAGTGCTACTATCCTTCTCCCCAAACCCATCAGAAGGCACTGTCTTTTTATGTTTCTACATATCCTTCTCCCTAAACCCATCAGAAGGCACTGTCTTTTTATGCATTTACTTCAGAAACATTTGAGGTTTGTTTTTACTTGCAGTCACTAGTTACAATTGGCTCATAACAACTACAAAGGCATATATTGTCCATATATTCAAATTGCAAGAAATGAATAAAGATATTTACTATCCTATAAACATGACTTATACCTCATTCTAAAAAGCATATATGTTTGTGTTATTTTCATAAGTTATTACGAATGTGCTCTGCTGAGACCTTTTAGATAACTTATGTAAAACGTTCAATCACAAAGATGGAAACACATTAAAGAATTTTTTTTCTTCTTTTCCTCACAAGGTCATCCCTCAGAAGTTTAGTTCAAAACATTAGTGTTCCTGTTTCATTTATTCCTCCACAAGAACTATATTTTAAACAACCAGTTTTATTTGTCATACAGAGTTATTAACAGGTTTCAAGGCTGCTTCTTTAATATTTATTATCTTGTGTTCGGAAGCAAACCAATTTTGCTCATGGTAATTGTTCCTTACAAGGAACCTAAATTGTTCTTTTTAATCTCCAACAATTTCTAATGACTTTGTTTCCAAGGTACATTCTACCAATAAGTACTGAGTGTTTTCAGAGTAATGCCTACTAGGAAGAACAAACGATAACAAATTCTTTATGTTGTGAATAATTGCTTGCTGGGAAGCTCTAGCAAGAATTACAGCATCTAAATTGTCAGGAACAGGTTTTTACACACAAGGGAGCAGAGTCTCCAGGGGTTTAAAAATTAAAGATTTATTAACACAGCCCAGTGAATATTGACCATGTAGAGCTATGAAAGGAGCAATGTCTGAAACTCTGGAGAGATGCCGCCAATCACAGTGGACAATATAGGCCCGTATGGGTCCATGATCTGACTCAGTGTCACACAACTTCTACTCAGGCAGAAGGTCTTTCCCATCCCCTGTTAACTAATTAGAAATGCCAAGGTGTGAGTCTGGGGCTTTACATTCAGCATGCTTAACAGGTGCCATTTTTGCTACTGAGTTATAGTTTCCCCTCAACCTAGATGGAGGACCAGTAAAATGCAAGGCAATTTATGAAATTAATCCTGGCCAGTTAGTACAGGCTACTGTGCTGGCAAAGTGACATATAGGACTCATGAGCATTTAAAAGACTGGACCACCCTGGCAACAGCAGCTATTAAGTCAAATACAGAATGGCTACCCCTTGTATTCATTCGGTTTCATACAGAAGCTTCCATGAATTTGACAACCTTGCTTTATAGGGTTCAAGATAATTTTCTCATATAGCCAAAGCGAGTTTGAATCTCACAGAAATATATGTGACAATAGTATGTTTTTTCCCTGCATGGCATCATTCTGCATTTTCTTAAGTTAACTTGGTGGTTTGGTTGGTTGGTTAAATGCCCTTCACAAAAATACCATATTTTTCCATGTATAAGACTATACTTTTGTCTAAAATCTTTAGACTAAAAATTGAGGGTTGTCTTATACACGGAAGTAAGCTGAGGAGAGAACAAAAACAAGTGGAGGGGAAAGCAGGGATCAAAG